CAACTGTTTTCAAAAGCTGTGAATTTCAGAAGCAAATGACCAATATTTCTGCTCCACCAAAAGCAACCCACCCCAGCATCCAAGGCACACCACAAGAACTTTTATCTCAGAGACCATCAACCTCAACAAACACCTGAATGACCATTCTTATAGAACCAAATGTCCCCCCACCCCACACTGCACTACAAGCTACTTACTTTGTACAAACTAAGTTTAACAGACTGGCTGGTGCTAAATAAAGCTTGACTTCTACAGAGCACTGCTATTAGTATCAGGATTAGAACTATGCAGCTAAGAAATTCTAAGGTTTCATAGTCTGAACTGTCAATAACTAAGGTGACTTTAAGCAGATCTTCCAAACACTTTTTATTTCAGGAAAAAAAATTTGCCCATTTTATTCTGTAGGAACTATAAATAAGGTAGTGCATAAAACAAAATGTAAATTCACCTTGTGTTACTGACTCTCCCTCATTCTTTACTCAAGTAAGTAGGTCAACAGTCCAGCTCATACAGGTCAAGGGCAAACCACAGCCTGGATATGGATTTTTCTCTTTTTAAAAGTCTTATTTAAGAGCATATGGGGAAAAGAAAACCTGTCTTATTTCATATGTAAAAACATAGTTAGTTCTATTCTACTGCTCCAAAAGATCTTTCTGGAGGTAGAAAACCGAAATAACCTTTAGGATAGGGTATACACCAGAGTTAACACTGATGTTATTCCTGAAACACTAGGAAGAGAGTTAACCCAGGCCTACCAATGCAGCAGTTACTGGTTTAACATACTTTGGGGAGTGTAACTTTGACAGTCTCACAAAGTAACAACTCCTTTTGGCTATGTAAGCTAGGGAAAGACTATTGGGACTTAGAAGTCAATTATTAGCCTAGTGTAACAAGGCAGGCCTAGGTAATAACTTTCATCAGGCTGAAGAGGTCTGAGTTTTAATATTACATCCTTCAGGCTTTTTCCAATTGCTTTCACTGGTTGCAAAACTTCATTTTCCTTTGATTTCAGTAATCCACTTTAGGCTTTTTCACATCCAAGTATTCACTAATCTCTCAGCAGACAGTGTAGACCTGACAGAAAGAACATACTTATTAGCAAGGGAAAAGGCCTAGCCTTAAGAGCTGTATAGTCACAAGCTCTCTGTGGCACAGTTTTCCCCATTTGGAAAATGGATGAAAGAAGTAAATACAGCCTGACAAGGCACAATGAAAGAAATGGACTTTAATGTCAAAATGCTTCTTCATTTAATCACAGGGTTGTATATGTGAATAGCTGCTTCACACCAATTAATGACTCCCTGGGCAAGTCACTTCAACTCTCTGAATCAGTTTCCTCACCTGTAAAATGGAGATGATGATAGTATTTCACAGTGTTGTTGTAAGGATCAAATGGTATAATGCAGGTAAAGTTTTTGCTGTATAAATATGAGCTGTTATTATTTCCAAGCGAGAAGGGGATCAAAGGGTTAGCTCTCAGGTGGACAGAATGAGAGAAAGCAACTAACAACAAAATCTAACTGCCCAAATCAAGAATTAGTTAATTTAGAAATTAACCAGGCACATTTTCCTTGAAGAAGGAAAAATTATCCTAGTATGACAGTGGCACTATTTAAAACTCATTCTGGTTATGAAGCATACAGAGTACAGGACGATATTTAAGGCAGGAGATACCAAGGTGGATGGTGGCAACCCTAACCCTTCTGGACTAGGAACTGTCCACCAGCAAACTCTACCAAGTAAGCTGAACGGCACAAACTGCCCAGACAGCAGAATATTCAACTCTTTGTCGTTGCTGCTGCTATTTTCCAAGCAGATGAGGGCATTGAGAAGCAAATCTTTCCTAGCTTAAAGATACTGCATCGGGAGTTATGCCCAGTACAATTAAAACCGTGTGGCTTTGGATTACAATGCACTTGATAAGCTTCTCAAGGTTGTCTTTAAATACAAACTATTACAAACCGTTTCCCCAAAGGTGTCCACCAACAACTGTCACCCCAAACTCGTGCAGTCATTGGGCCAAGCAGTTGAACCAACGAGCAAACTGGCAGATGGCAAAAAGCCAATTTTGTTGTGGTACCCAGGCCCACCAACGCGAAAAACCTTTCAGTTTTGTTCCAAAAGGAGGGGAGTGTTAGGGTCAAAAGGAAAAACAAGGTATCGTCCGATTCAAGCACACAGAATAATTTAAATGTGACAAGACAGCACCCACTGATTGAAAGTCTTTGAAAAAGGGCCCCTTCTCTACCAGCCCAAACATAAGCACACCCCAGAGACAAAGTCTGTAACCCAACTAAGACAAAAATTTCATTGGGCGGAAGTTTCCATTCTTTTTTTTTTTAAACAAACCGGTAATGGACAGAACTACCATAATAAGTACAATCCATCAGGGGGCCTGGGATGGAAAGAAGTAATCCAGTTCTGCAGGAAGGAGGAGTCTCTTCCTCTCCCCCCCCCCCACTGGACAGTGCGAGAAAGGTCCACGACGTTCCCTTTCAGAACAGAGGCTCTCAAGGTGCTCTCACCTGGTGGGGAGCACACTAGGTTGCACCGGGTTTCGGAGAGGATGGAAGAAGTGCAGTCCCCCACACTGCCCCCCAACACACGCCCACGCCGCGCGAGGCAGCAGCACCCGTACACAACAGCAGCAGCAGCAGCCGTCACCGCCCCTTGGCCGCCCGTACCTCCATTCCGCTCTCGTCTCCCCCCCACCCCGCTCCCAGTCCAGCCCCCGACGCTCCTGGAACCTCCCGCCTCACTTTTTAACGTCACAGGGAAGGAGGGAGGGAAAGATTCCACCCAAGCCCTTCCCTTTGTGACGTCACAATGACAACAGAACGCGGCCCAGGCCCAGAGTGTTCACGATCCGGGAGGGGGGAGGGAGGGAGTTGGGGGGAGGGGGACGGGGAGGCAAGGTGGGGGAGTGAGGGGGGGCACCCGCACTGACGTTTCGCCGGCTTTAACCTGTTGCTCGCTAGCATGTTAGTACGACGGTCTAGGGACTGAGCAGCGAGCGAGGTCCGGCGGCCGCCCGCAGCCCAAAGGCAGGGGCAACCGCCACGGCCGCCATGCTCGAATCTGCGTGCGTGTCGGTTACTCGCTGCAGTTGTGCGTGAGCGCGGCCCCCTCCCCCAATCCGCATCCGCCCCCCTCCCCCACCCTCGACCCCTCCTCCCCACGAGAAACCGTGCACGCGGCGGCGCACTCGCACGCCGTCAAATCATCGGCTCCCAGCTTCCACTCCCTTTCCCCCCCCCACCCACCCCCGGCCTTCCACCCGGGAAAGAGCCGGAGCCTCCCCACGAGCCAGAAATCTGCCCCCTATGGGCAGTACAGAAAACCGTCCCCCTCTAGAGCCACACGCCCCCTCCCCTCCCCTCCTCTCCCCTCCCGACCCACACACACACTATCCCACGGAGGAACACGGGAAGCCCAGGAGATCTGAGTACGCAGAGGGGGGCACACAAGAGCATTAACTCCTACTCGGCCACTAGTTTATTGAAAAGCTGTCTGGACGGCACAAGACTTAAGGTTGCTACATTGTTCACAGTTAAACAAAAAAAAAGAAAACACCCAATGGAGCTCAGCGGAGGGTGGTTGGGTTCTTTTTCCTCCTTACCGTCTAAGTTCTCCCCAATTTAATTTGCTTTGCAAAATGCATCCGAGGCGAGCAGTAACCGAGGATGGCTTGAGACGTTTCCCAGACAAGGTTGAGTCTCCAAGCAATTTTATACAGCAAGAGTTTTAAACTAGTCTTCTCCATTCTACCCAGTCCTCTGCAATGCGGATGTATTTTTTATTCGTAAATTCTTTAGAGAACAGCTTTAAGTTGTACTTGATTATTCAACCTCGTACTCCCTGCATAGTTAAGAGTTTAAGATGTCTAACTCTATACAGAAGTCATTTTTGGCTTTTCCATGAAATGAAGTCCCTTTTTAAAAAGGTAATGTCCCGAAGGTCACCCCACACACACACAGAAAAAAGGAAAAAAGAAAATGGAAACGCGAATTTGGCGTCTCAAGTCAAAAACTTTCTTATAACCCTGCATCACTTGGAATGCTGATGTGGTCTTTTAAAAATGGGTTCTCTCATTTTAAGCATGCAGATAAATCACCAATCGCTCGAGTGCATATTTGGCTAATCCCTTGGTCTCCCTTCTTCCCTCCCTCCCCCCCAACTTTATAAAAAAAAGCCACCACACACAAAAACAAAAACACTCCTCATGCCAATCAAAATGTAGCTGTACCAACAAAATATTTAACTATTCCCACACGTCTAAATCTTTGAAGATTACCCAATTACGAGAAGCCCAGTTAAAACAGTGAAATTATTTATAGTTACATACATCCATACGCACACACTTACAAGCATTAAGTCTTACATATTTTCCCCTAAAACTGGAAATCATGAATTTTTAAACAAAACTAATCCATTGCCCCATTATTAAAGTCAATCCCAACAAATGCATTCACCGTAACATGATTCCCAACTGGTTTCTATTTGCGAACCAGATAAGCAAAACGACCACATACATTAAATTTGATGTGGCAGTCCTAGGAACAAGATCGCCATAATCGGACACTAGATTTCAACTTAAAGGGCTTACAACACAGTATACAGTTTTTTAAAAATAATGATAAAATGGTTCATTTTGTATGCAAAGTGCAATAGACAAATCCGCTTGAGAATGCAGTTTAGTTACATTACTGCAACCCCCTCAAGCTCCACCGAAATGCTTTGCCTTTCATCTAAAACTAGATTATGATTGTGTCATTTGAGGTCAATTTATTCACTTGGGGTATCTCTACACCAATGTGTTTTTGTAACCAGACTGGACAGACAAGACTTAGCTTGAAAAATCCCTCTCTCAAAATAGAAAGAAACAGCCTTATCGGACCCTGTATTTAAAACCTTTCAGCAGCAGAATTATCTATAAACTTGACATTCACAGCCATTGCTTAAAACTGCAAGTCAAAGGATGTGTTGTTAAGAACACTTACGTATTTCTTCTGAATGATATTCCTCTTGGGTCTTTCCTTGCTCATTCTGAGATCCAAATGCTGATTGCAAAAGGGGACAATTGCTTCATGAATTTAAGCCGTCAGAAATTTGCAAAAAAATATCCTGGTGGTTTTTATTGTTGTTGGTGATGGTTGTAATCCGACTTTTCTTCCTCTTCCTCCAAAGCCAGATTCGCCTCTAAATAAATCCGAAATTGGGAAGAAAAAAAAAGCCAAAGACGAAGCAGACAAAAAAATTCACTTTAGTAAAACACTCATAATGGAAAATTTCCCCCGAAACACACATACACAAAAAAAAAACCGACGCCCTTCACTCCCCCTTTTTTCCTCCAAAAACTACATCAGCAAAACGTGAAGGTCCTTAGTGTCTGATCTGTAGTTACATCTTGGAAAAGGAAAGGGAAAGATAAATAAAAATGTTGGAAGTCACGTTTATGCTGCAGCAGCAGTGAGACCAGAAGAGTCAACTCCAGCAGCGGCGGCGGCAGAGGCAGCAGCAGCCCCACAGCAAGGGCTGCACCGCGTCTCTTTTTTCCAAGCACCCTAACCAATGAGAGTCGGTCTCCAGCCCAACTTTAAATGGACTCTGCTTTTATACAAGTTAGGGATCCTCAGGCAATTGCCCATCGGCACCCCAGACGAAAACTTCTTCAGCAAGTCTACAGAACACACGCCATCCACGGCGCTGAAACCCGCCGGAGGAATATAGAAGAGACCCCCGGTACCGTAGCCAAGAGGTCGCGGGAACTCTAAAAGTAGCTTCCAGACAACCTGCCAAGCGCTTCTCCGGCCCCCAACCCAGGTGTGTAATTGAAAGATACTCCCTCGCTCACTGCATGGCACGCTCTGTCGCTCCACCTCCCCCCCTCCCCTCCCCTTCCCTCCCCTCCCCTTCCCTAGCTTGTCTCTAGCGCTGCAAAGCTCACGCTAGAGCCGCTGCCACGGCTCTTGCATCTACCTGCAGCCGGGCAGCCCACAGCGCGTGCACTGAGCCCCCCGCCCCAGGGGAGAGCCGCTTGTTACCGGGGCGCATTAGAATCGTCCCCTTGATCTCCTGGAAGTTGTAGTCCCCCGACTACAAAATGGCTATGGCCGTGGGGGTAGAGAACTACAACTCCCAGCTTGCTCCGCGCGCCACCACCACACTCCGTCTCTCTCGCCCTCCCTTCCCCCTTCTCTCCTCTTTCCCCCCCCTTTCCCCTCCCCGCAACCCTTGCCAACAAACGCTTGGACGTGTCCCGCGTGCGACAGCGCCCGAGGCTGGCTCCCGATTGGCCCGAAGAGCGTGTGGTCCGCGAGCGAGGAACTCCCCACTCTCCATTCCAACCCCCACCCCTTTCCTCCTCTCTCACGCGATGGCTTCCCCCCCCCACTCCATCCCCGCCGCCCTACCCCCACCCCGGGCGCGAGTCGCCGCCTGTAGAACTCGAGGAATCGTGCTGCGCGGCCCGGCGCACCTGGCCTGCTGCCGGGGAGGGGCGGAGGGCTAGGAAGGGCTCTCCCCTCTCTCCTTGGAAAGAACCGCAGAGGGTGGGGGGTACTGGTAGCCCGTACGGGGTGGGGGGGGGAGGGAACTGGGCCAGGCACCGGGAGGAATCCTCGCTGCAAACTAGTTGATCGGCGGCGCCTGCTGCTACGCTGCAAGCCGGTGTCACTCCAGGACACCGTGCATGGCTTATTTGTGCAGAACTTGCTTAGAATCTGTCTCCAGGGTAGCCTAAGGTCACCTCTGCCTTCTCACATACCCCGACCGTCACCACAGCCCCGCACCCTGCCTTGCTTCACACACACACACACACACACACACACACACACACACACAAAACACACACCCCACGGCCTGCAAATGCAAGCACGGCGCCGCCGAGCTCCCAGGCAATAGTGTTGTAATAATAACCCCATTTAAATCCGGTCTCCCGGCTCGTGCACGTTGCACGGGGAGAGGGACATCCCCGGCGTTTCCCAATGTCATTTCATTGAAGGTGATAAGGCTTCCCCCTGGAGACTGGAGGGTGAATGATGGGGAAGAGGCTTTAGGGAGTTGGGGCAAAGTAAAAATGCTTGTGACTATGGACTCCCGGCTTAAAAGGGCTGACGTGTATTTGTGCTGTTAATTGGCCCGTTCGTTTCTGGTCTGTGCATGAAACGAAAGCACCCAAGCAAGCAGTTAATGGGAACATGGAGAGCCAACAAACCTGGCCGCGAAAACAGCACAAGGCATGCCCCGCACACCTCCAGCAAGGAGGATCTTCACAGACGGCTACCCGCTTGCCTCTTGCATCTTCAGCAGCTACTAAATGAGGAGCGGGCCCTGGGTTACGAGCCACATTTAGACTTCTTTAACAAGTTTGTCAAGGACCAGATGTCGATACTGCATTGTTTAACTTTGTTGTAGCTTCAGTCTTGCATGAGCAATATTTTAAAATCTCTAAGGCGGAGAAGAAAAAAAAAACCCAAACTCTAGGGAAAAATGTTTTCTACGTAGTAAATGAGAGGTGTTAACGTGTTCTCATATTTGTTCCCAAATTTCACGTTTTTTCCTCCAATTTCAATATTGACTTTAAAAGATGGACGGTTTAGGGGCCTTGGGAATCTCTGAAAGATTAAATTAGGATTTTTATAATTTTAAAGATTTTTTTTTTGGTTTAGAAGTTTAAAAAAAAGATACGTTAACCAGACATATTATTATATTTACGTTTCCACACAATTTTTGATGACTTTTAGAAAATATTCTTCATTTAACCCTAATACTTCCCCTAATCTATGATCTCACTCCTATGAGTATTGCATCCATTTATCAGATGATAACCTTTCTATGCCTTCTCTGCAATTCTTGTTCCTACTCCCATAGGTCCTCCACATCTTTACATTTTGTGGGTAGTAATGCAGCATTCAGGCAGTCCATTTGTCATTCCTTAGTCTCGACATATGACTAACCCACCTCCTTTTCTGACCATACATTTTCTCCATGTTACGCTGCTGCTACTTCTTGGATCTAGGTCATCACTGGAAATAATCTGCAGATTGATCACCTGCTGGAGGTTGTTCTGGTGGATGATGGAATGTTTGGCCACAATAGCCCTAATATATTAAGCCTTTTTGTGATTGTGAAATACATTTTAAAGGTTTGGAAGCATAGGATTTAAAGCTGGACACTGATCTTGGGGATTGCCTGGTTCAACTCCCCATCCTTTTTACAGATTAGGAAATTAAGGCCCATCAGAGTCCTGTTAATTTCAGAGAAAAGTAAATCCTAGAACTTGTGTGTGTGTTGTTGTTGTTAATTGTGATCACTGTATTTCAATAAAGTTGGTTTCCTTTGTAATCCTATGTATTTTATTTTATGACTTTAAAAATACCGTGAGAAGGAATATAAGTAGCCTTCACCAGGCTACCAAATGGGTCCCTGAGACAAAAAAGTTTTAAGAGCAGGTAAGTCCCAGGAATGGCAGGATGACTTAAATTCAGATCTTCCTGACTCCAAACCCAGAATGTTAGCCCTCTGAACATTGCCTTTTGTTTTCACATTGAACTCTTGTTAATGATCAAATATTGGAAGGGGGCCTGGGATGGTAATGTGGAAGTGCAGGCTCCAATTTAATATCATCATTACTGTTAAGACCCAGTTTTCTAAAATGCTTCAAGGTTGTGTCGGTTATTACCGACACTCTTATAAAAATTCAGTTTAATTCAACAAGCTTTCATTGAGCACAGTCAAGGCACTAACCATATAAAGATTGGAAATGACATCACCCCTGTCCTCACAAAGCACTTTACATACATTATCTCATTTGAGTCCCAAACAACACATAAGGTAAGTACTCCAGATGTCATTATCCCTGTTTTGCAGAAGAGGAAACTGAGACTGATATTGAACAACTTATCCAAGGTCACACAGCCAGTAAGTATCTGAGGTACTAGCACACTAGTCTTCTTGAGGAATTTTGAGTCTGTTAGACTTTTATATTGCCATTGTTTCTAGAAAGACAGCATCAGTTGACTGCCTTCAATTGCAATCTATTACCAAATCCTATCATTTCTACCAACAAAACATCTCTTGTATATGGCCTGTTCTCTCCTCTGACACAGCTGCTATCCTAGTACAGGTCCTCATCTCCTCACACCTGCCCTATTTATTGTAATAACCTCCTGGCTGTTCTCCCTGACTTGTCCCTTCCCATTCCAATCCATTCTCCCCTCGGCTACCAAAGTCATCTTCCTAAAGTGTAGATCTGACCATGTCATCCATTCATTAAACTCCTGTGACTCCCTATTACTTCCAGGATCAAATATAAAATCCTGTTTGGCTTTTAAAACACTTCACAACCTGGCCCCTTCCTACTTTTCCAGTCTTCTTATACTTAATTCCCGTCCAGGTACTCTATAATCCATTGGCATAGCCTTCTGGCTGTACCTTAAACAAGACACTCTATATCCCTACTCCTTCGATTTCCACTGGTGTTCCCTGTGCCTGGAATGCTCTCCATCCTCACCTCCTCCTGACTTCCTCACCTTCCTTCAAGTATCAAATCAGCTCCAGTCCTACCTTCCTCAAGAGGCAGGCTGCATTAATGCTAGTGTCTTTCTTCTCAGATGCCTGCAGTTTGATAGATAGATAGATAGATAGATAGATAGATAGATAGATAGATAGATAGATAGATAGATAGATAGATGTGAATATTATGTATATACACATATACATATATCATGTGTGTAGTTGTCAGTGTTTTATATATATACGTTATATATCTTGTATAGTCACATGTTATATATATATATGTTGTCTTGTATTCAGTTGTGTGTTATATGTATGTGTGTTTATCTTGTGTGTACATGGCTGTTTGTATGTTATATATGTACATATTGTGTGTATGTGGGTGTTTTCTTTCCATATGCATGCATATATGTATGTATAGTGCATAGTTGTTTTCAGGTTTTCTACATATAGCTTCTGTGTATGTAGGTGGTTGCATGTTATGTGTACATGCATATATATGCACCTATTGATATCTTGTATGTGCATAGTCATTTGCATGTTATATATGTACTATGTATGTGTGTATAGATAGCTTATGTGTACATCGTTGTTTTATGTCATATATAGCTATATATACATGCATATGCAGAGGTCTTATGTGTACCTAGATTATTTGTATGTTATATACATGTATATGGATTCTTGTATGTAGTTGTTTGCATGTTGTCTTCTCCATTAAATATGAGCTTCTTAAGAGCAGAGACTGTTTTTGTCTTTATTTGTATCAGGAGCATTTAGCACAGTATCTGGCACATAACAAGCACCTAATAAATTCTTCTTGACTTCACTTGGCTATAGATCAACTCACTATTCCTTGGAATTCCCAGCTATTCCTTCTCCTAGACACCTGTGCCTCCCCTTGTTAGAATGTATGTATGTATGTGTTGTCTCCCCTTGTTAGAAGGTGAGCTCCCTGAGGGCTAAAGGAACTTGAAAGAAGATCATCTAGAAAAGGAAAAACGAAGCTGGGTTTCCTGCTGTCCAATTTCTGGTCAGTTAGCTAACCCTGGACACCATCTACTGAACTCACTTACTTCTTGGCC